AGGTCTTGAGGCTTTTTCGGAAGGACATGAGGGAAGGCGCCAGTCTGATGTCCACAGGGAGGGTGTTCCACAGCCGGGGGGCCACCACCGAGAAGGCCCTCTCCCTAGTCCCCGCCAGGCGTGCCTGTGAGGCAGGCGGGATCGAGAGAAGGGCCTCCCCAGACGATCTCAAGGTCCTCGTGGGCTCATAGGCCAAGATGCGGTCCGAAAGGTATTTTGGGCCGGAACCGTTTAGGGCTTTGTAGGCCAAAACCAGCACCTTAAATTGGGTCCGGTAGCAAATCGGCAGCCAATGGAGCTGGGACAACAAGGGCGTTGTACGCTCCCTGCCCCCCACTCCAGTTAGTAACATGGCTGCCGCGCGCTGAACCAGCTGAAGCTTCCGGGCCGTCTTCAAGGGCAGCCCCACGTAGAGAGCGTTGCAGTAGTCCAGGCGGGATGTGACCAGAGCGTGTACCACCGTGGCCAAGTCAGACTTCCCGAGATACGGGCGCAGCTGGCGCACGAGCCTAAGCTGTGCAAATGCTCCCCTGGTCACCGCTGACACCTGGGGATCCAGGCTCAAAGATGAATCCAGGGTCACACCCAAGCTGCGAACCTGCGCCTTCAAGGGGAGTGCGACCCCATCCAGCACAGGCTGTAACCCTATACCCCGTTCGGCCTTGCGACTGACCAGGAGTACCTCTGTCTTGTCTGGATTCAATTTCAATTTGTTCGCCCTCATCCAGACCGTTACAGCGGCCAGGCACCGGTTTAGGACCTCGACAGCCTCCTTAGTAGCAGGTGGAAAGGAGTGACAGAGTTGGACATCATCTGCGTACAGATGACACCGCACCCCGAAACTCCGGATGATCTCACCCAGCGGCTTCATGTAGATATTAAACAGCATGGGGGACAGTATGGAACCCTGTGGAACCCCACAAGTCAAAGGTTAACAATTGACTTAACAGAACAAAACAAACAAGCAGATAAAAAACCCACAAATTTTGCAAACTTGGTAGTTGATTAAATGCCCTTTGACCAGTCTCTGGCCCCTTGGAGTGCCTCTGGTGTTGCCGCAAGAAGGTCCTCCATTGTGCATGTGGCAGGGCTCAGGGTGCATTGCAGCAGGTGGTCAGTGGTTTGCATGTTGTGGATTCCACTTTGTGGCCCCATTTCTTAAGATTGGCTCTGCATCTCGTGGTGCCAAAGCGCAGTCTGTTCAGCGCCTTCCAAGTCGCCCAGTTTTCCGTGTGCCCAGGGGGGAGTCTCTCATCTGGTATCACCCACGGATTGAGGTGCTGGGTTTGAGCCTGCCACTTTTGAACTCTCGCTTGCTGAGGTGTTCCAGCGAGTGTCTCTGTAAATCATAAAAAACTATTTCTAGATTTAAGTCGTTGACGTGCTGGCTGATACCCAAACAGGGGATGAGCTGGAGATGTCACTGCCTTGGTCCTTTCACTATTGGCTGCTACTTCCCGGCGGACATCAGGTGGTGCAATACCGGCTAGACAGTGTAATTTCTCCAGTGGTGTAGGGCGCAGGCACCCCGTGATAATGCGGCAGGTCTCATTAAGAGCCACATCCACTGTTTTGGCGTGGTGAGATGTGTTCCACACCGGGCAGAAGCGACCAGAAACTCTAGCAGTAAAACACAAGGATAAGTTTGTTACCCTTCATGATAAACCAAATTCTGCCGCTCTGCATCTGGATCATTATTATCAGACATGCAAGCCCTGGCATTAAAAAGTCTCCTCAATAACCATAGTATGATAACAACTCCAGTTTAGATCTGTTTTGCATTCTACTTCTGCTCAGTCCTGCAACAAGAGACGAAAAAGTTTGAAGGGCAGTACTGTGAGAGACACCTACCCTTCATCCAAAGTCTTCTGAACTTCTGCCTCCATCGTTGGGTTTTGCCACAGCCTGAAAACCAGAGCGCCATGCACTCAACCGCTGTGGCCATTTCCTTGCAGCATGCCATCCTAGATATAGAATATTCTGCGCAGCAAATTTACGATTGTTGGGACCCCAATTAGGTGTTACACTTATAATAAAGTGCCTAGTTATAAAGTATAGGAAGGGGTTCCGGTACTCTCCCGTCCCCGAGCGCAGAAAAGGCATGATGGGGCCGGGGAAATTTATGGCTCCAACCCATACATAAAACATACGTTCTTTCATCTTGTGTTTCTTGAGGAACTCACTGCTACTTAACTCGTTAATAACGCTAAGGCATTCCATTCATCTTAATGACTGAAAAATGCTTTGAACCTGGGACACAAAGAAGACGTCGACACTGTGGGAGAGAGCTTGGCTTCCTCGGGGTCAAAAGCAGGACTCCAATTGACTTAAGTGGGGTCAGGGATCCACTGTTTATCACCAAGGACTTGGAGTACTTGGCTTCTAATAGGGAAGGGTTCCTAATAATTCGTTCTCTCTCTCTCTCTCCATACACACACACACACAAACACACACAGAGAGAGTATACGTGTGTGTGTGTGTGTGTGTGTGTATTTCACACACACACAAGCTTAGGTACCAGGTGTTGCCTGAGTCAGGTATTTGGGAATGCTATTTGTCAGAAACAGTCATTGTTCCGGTTGCTGTGAGTTTTTCAGGCTGTGTGGCCATGTTCCAGTAGCATTCTCTCTTGACGTTTCACCTGCATCTGTTGGAGCCCCTGTGGCGCAATGGATTATATATATATATATATAGAGAGAGAGAGAGAGTGCACCTCCATACACACACAGAGAGAGATGTAAACACATAAACACTAATAATAAATAATAACCCATTCAGACTCATGCAACTCTCCCAATGCGGCTGGATTTCAACACCCATCATCCTGTCTCACAGGCCTAGGCAAATCTGGGCCCTCCCTCCAGGTGTTTTGGAATTTAACTCCCACAATTCCTAACAGGCTCAGTATATACGCATGTGTGTGTGTGTGTGTGTGTGTGTGTATACCATACACAAACACACACAGAGGTAATAATTAATTAACACTAATAATTAATAATCACCCATTCAGACTCATGCAATTCTCCCGGTGTGGCTGGATTTCAACTCCCATCATCCTCTCTCACAGGCATGGGCCAACTTGGGCCTTTCAGGTGTTTTGGACTCCAAATCCCACCATTCCTAACAACCTCAGTATATATGCATGCATGTGTGTGTGTATAGCTGTGTGAGCCACCATACACAGACACACACACACAGACGTAAACATATAAACACTAATAATTAATAATAACCCATTCAGACTCATGCAAGTCTCCCAATGCGGCTGGATTTCAACTCCCATCATCCTCTCTCACAGGCCTGGGCCAACTTGGGCCCTCCCTCCAGGTGTTTCAACTCCCACAATTCCTAACAGCCTCAATATATATGTATGTATGTGTGTGTGTGTGTGCATAGCTGTGTGAGCCACCATACAGAGGTAAACATATAAACACTAATAATTAATAATAACCCATTCAGACTCAGGCAACCCTCCCGATGAGGTTGGATTTCAACTCCCATCATCCTCTCTCACAGGCATGGGGAAACTTGGGCCTTCCCTCCAGGTGTTTTGTACTTCAACTCCCACAATTCCTAACAGACTCAGTATATATGCATGTATGTGTGTGTGTATGTATATATATACATACATACATACATACATATATATATATATATATATATATATATATATATACATACACACACACTCCATACACAAACACACAGACGTAAACACATAAACACTAATAATTAATAATAACCCATTCAGACTCAGGCAACCCTCCCGATGTGGCTGGATTTCAACTCCCATTATCCTCTCTCACAGACCTGGGCCAACTTGGGCCTTCCAGGTGTTTTGGACTCCAACTCCCACCACTCCTAACAGACTCAGTATATATGCATGTGTGTGTATGTGTGTGTGTGTATATATATATATATATATACACACACACACACCATACACACACAGAGAGAGACGTAAAACATAAACACTAATAATTAACAATAACCCATTCAGACTCATGCAACTCTCCCCATGCGGCTGGATTTCAATTCCCATCATCCTTTCTCACAGGCCTGGGCCAACTTGGGCCTTCCAGGTGTTTTGGACTCCAACTCCCACCATTCCCAACAGCCTCAGGCCCTTTCCTTTCCCCCTCAGCCTGAGGCTGTTAGGAATGGTGGGAGTTGGAGTCCAAAACACCCAGACAGCCCAAGTTTGACCAGGCCTGATCTATATGTTCCAGGTGTTTTGGACTCCAACTCCCACCATTCCTAACAGCCTCAGGCCCTTTCCTTTTCTCCCTCAGCCTGAGGCTGTTAGGAATGGTGGGAGTTGGAGTCCAAAACACCCAGACAGCCCAAGTTTGACCAGGCCTGATCTATATGTTCCAGGTGTTTTGGACTCCAACTCCCACCATTCCTAACAGCCTCAGGCCCTTTCCTTTTCTCCCTCAGCCTGAGGCTGTGAGGAATGGTGGGAGTTGGAGTCCAAAACACCCAGACAGCCCAAGTTTGCCCAGGCCTGATCTAGAGGCACATCCCTGATTTCTATGTTCCAGGTGTTTTGGACTCCAACTCCCACCATTCCTAACAATCTCAGGCCCTTTCCAAAAGGAAAGGGCCTGAGGCTGTTAGGAATGGTGGGAGTTGGAGTCCAAAACACCTGGAACATATAGATCAGGGATGTGCCTCTAGATCAGGCATGGGCCTAGTTGGGCCTTCCCTCCCTCCAGCTGTTTTGGACTCCAACTCCCACCATTCCTCACCGCCTCAGGCCCCTTCCTTTTCCCCCTCAGCCGAAGCTTAAGCGGCTGAGGGGGAAAAGGAAGGGGCCTGAGGCGGTGAGGAATGGTGGGAGTTGGAGTCCAAAACAGCTGGAGGGAGGGAAGGCCCAAGTAGGCCCAGGCCGTGCCTTGGAGTCGCCATGGCAACAGGTGGGCGGGGCTCCGGGGAGAGAAAGCGGGAGGAGACTTTCACTCTCTGGTCACCTGATCCGGGCCCGGGAGTCACGTGATCCCGTGCCCATCGTCGCCATTTTGAAGCGGTGCCTCTGAAGAGAGAAGGGAAGGAGGGGAGGCGGAGGCGGGCGCGGGTGCCGGAGGGACACTCCTCCCGGGAAGGTAAGGCCCGCAGCCCCCTCTGGGCCCGGGTAGAAAGAGCCCCCTGGGCGGGAGAGACCCCCAAAGAGGGCCGGCCCCTCCAGACCCATTCTGCCTGCCAGGGAGACACCAGCAAAGCCCTCCCGACAGATGGCCGCCCAGCCCCTGCTTCATTATAATATAGAAGCAGAGAATCATGAACCTAGAAGGGACCTCCAAGGGCCATCCAGTCCAACCCCATTCTGTCAGGCAGGAAGACACCAGCAAAGCCCTCCCAACAGATGACCATCCAGTCCAACCTCATTCTACTATGTAGGAAGACACCAGCAAAGCTCTCCCAACAGATGACCATCCAGCCCCTGCTTCATAATGATATAGAACCAGAGAATCATAAACCTAGAAGGGACCCCCAGGGGCCATCCAGTCTAATCCCATTCTGTCAGGCAGGAAGACACCAGCAAAGCCCTCCAAACAGATGACCATCCAGCCCCTCCCATTCTGTCAGGCAGAAAGACACCAGCAAAGCCCTCTTGATAGGTGGCCATCCAGCCCCTGCTTAATAATAACAATAATAATATAGAACCATTGAAACATACACCTGGAAGGGACCCCCAAGGGCTATCCAGTCAAACCCCATTCTGTCAGGCAAGGAGACACCAGCAAAGCCCTCCTGACAGATGACCATCCAGTCCCTGCTTAATAATAATAATAATAATAATAATAATAATATAACCATCTATTCATAGACCTGGAAGGAACCCCAAGAGCCATCCAATCTCTTTCTGCCAGGCAGGAAGACAGCAGCAAAGCTGTCTTGACAGATGGCCATCCAGCCCCTGCTTAATAATAATAACATAGACTTGAAAGGGACCCCCAAATGCCATCCAGTCCAACCTTCTCTGCCAGGTAGGAAGACACCAGCAAAACCCTCCCGACAGATGGCTGTCCACCCCCTGCTTAATAATGATAATAATATAGAACAATTGAAACATAGACCTGGAAGGGACCCTCCAAGGGCCATCCAGTCCAACCCCATTCTGCCAGACAGGAAGACAACAGCAAAGCCCTCCTGACAGATGGCCGCCCTGCCCCTGCTTCATAATAATAATAATAATAATATAGAACCATTGAAACATAGACCTGGAAGGGACCCCCAAGGGCCATCCAGTTCAAACCCTTTCTGTCAGGCAGGAAGACACCAGCAAAGCCCTCCCGACAGATGGCCATCCAGCCCCTGCTTAATAATAATAATAATAATAATATAGAACAATTGAAACATAGATCTGGAACAGACCTCCAAGAGCCATCCAGTCCAACCCCATTCTGTCAGGCAGGAAGACACCAGCAAAGCCCTCCTGACAGATGGCTGCCCTGCCCCTGCTTCATAATAATAATAATATAGAACAATTGAAACATAGACCTTTACATTACATTATAACATTATAAATATTATATGTATATACGTTATATTATTATATTATATTTATTTTTAAAATTTCAGATATTATGGAAGCCAGCAACAATATTACAGCACTCATCTCAAATATCGGGGAGCAAGAAGCGGTCCTCATCTCTGAAGCAGCCTTAAGCCCAAGCTCAGAAAGTGGCGAGGAGCAGAAGTGTAACCCTGACCCGCTCATCCAAGTCATTCAGAAGCTAAGCAAGATTGTTGAGAGCGACAAATCTCAGAAATGCCTTTTGATAGGGAAAAAGCGCTTGCATCCCGACACGTCGCTGCTGTCACTTGAGCCACAGAACCTCCTCGAGATTCCACCCAAAACCCTTGAACTGCCCGCTTTAGGCACCATTAATATCGAGGATTATTATGTAACAGACAGTCCTCCAGTGAGCAAAAGGAAGGTGATTTGTTACCAGTGCAGCCTCTGTAAATCTTTGTCTCCCACGCTTCCCTTATTAAAAGAACACATCAAACAACACGGCCAGCAGAACGAGGTGATACTTATGTGTTCCGTGTGCAGTTTTGCAACCAGAAGTCTTGAAGAGTTTGAGGCTCATGTCCGGCATCACCCGGAGACTGGTGACAAAACTCACACGCCATCAAAGGAGCAGCAGTGTTTAGGTCTGCCAAGCACTACTTTGCAGGGACCGGTCGAAAGCGTTGTCAAAGTTGGCACTGATCTGGTGGCGCAGCTTCAGCCTCACGTCGCTGCGAAAGAGCGGCGAAAATGGTATACGTACGAACAGTATGGCATGTACCGCTGCCTGATTTGCAGTTACACTTGTGGCCAGCAAAGAATGTTGAAAACCCACGCCTGGAAACATGCAGGTGAAGTGGATTGCTCTTATCCCATCTTTGAGGAAGAAAACGAGCAAGCACCGTTGTCAGATTCTGTTGCTTTAAGCGTCCCTCACAGCTTGGACACGGTTGTCCTTGCATTGGAAAATAATGACCTGGGTCTCTGCGACGACCGGGCTGTTCAGCTCCACATTTGCAGTCCTGAGCAAATGACTTACAAACCCTTGCCAACTGAAGAACCTGTGAAAGAAGAGGCCGCCATAAGTCAGTCAAGTGGAAAGCTGTTGGAGGAGGCAGATTTCGAGCAAGATAGTGTGGCAAGTGACAGTTTACTTTCCTCAGCCCAGAAAATCATTAGCTGCAGCCCCAATAAAAAGGGCCACGTTAATGTCATCGTGGAACGTTTGCCAAGCGCCGAGGAACCTGTCCTGCAGAAGCCTTACTCGATGGAGGCGGAAATGGAGGCTGAGAAAAAGGTCATTTCTGAGCAGGCCACCCTCGCTCGGGACGGACCCGGGGACATTTATCACATGGATAAAAACTCTGTTGAGCTTGAAGAGGTTATTATTGGGTGGAGCAGCACCGAAAAGAGAGAGGGGGACGTAAATCCTGCCAGAGCCAAAGAAGCGGATGAGAACGCCCCTCCCGCGAGGAGAAGAACCAATTCGGAGTCCTTGAGGCTGCATTCGCTTGCCGCCGAAGCCCTTGTGACGATGCCAATCCGAGCGGCAGAGCTCGCTCGATCCGGCCTCCGGGCTGTCGCCGAAGTCAATGCCTTTGGTTCAGAGGTTGGGCAAAAGCAAACCGAAGCTCATTCTAAACTGGCAGCGTCCCTTGAAACTGACGAACTGACCAGCCTAAACCAAACGGAGTGTGCTCTCGTGGAAATTCAGAAGGACAAGCCGGAGTTGACCGAAGGCCCCATGAAAATGGGCATCAGCATGTCACTGCTCACCGTCATCGAAAAACTGAAAGAAAGGACTGACCAGAACGCCTCTGACGACGACATTCTGAAGGAGTTGCAAGACAACGTCCAGTGCCAACCGGCCAACAATGCCAGTGTCCTCGGGAGCAGCCTGGTGGAATATCTCCCCAACGACGACCGTCCCTTTCGGTGCCGCTTGTGTCACTACAGCAGTGGCAACAAGGGGTACATCAAGCAGCACCTGCGCGTTCACCGCCAGAGGCAGCCCTATCAGTGCCCCATCTGCGAGCACATTGCGGACAACAGCAAGGATTTGGAGAGCCATATGATCAACCACTGCAAAACCCGGATGTACCAGTGCAAACAGTGTGAGGAGTCCTTTCATTACAAGGTGAATAATGTCCAGGGCCTTGTGTTTTCTATCAGCATGTTCAGAATGGCAATCCTTGTTGCTGTGGACTAAGGGCTCTTTCAGATAGATCCTATATCCCAGGATCTGATCCCAGGTTTTCCAATAATCCCAGATTATCTGGTATTTATTTATTTTTTTTTATTTACAGCTTTTTATATTCCGCCCTTCTCACCCCGCAGGGGACTCAGGCGGATTACAGTGTACACATATACGGCAAACATTCAATGCCAATTTTGACATACAAACATATACAGACATACACAGAGGCTATTTAACTTTTTCTGACCGCCAGGGGAGCTATCGCTTTCATCATCCATCTGCAACGCTGATGAAGCACTTCCGCATTCCCCGCATGCTTCCCCGCTGGAATGCTTTGCTGGAATCTTCTTTATGGCCTCATAAATCAGTTAATGTTGCCTCCCCACACTTTAAGGTGGTACCTTATTTTCCTACTTGACAGATGCAATTGTCTTTCAGGTTGCAAAGGTCGACAACACGCTACACACAACTGGTTGGAAACCCACTCCAACCTGGGCTGGCTTCGAACTCATGACCTTTTGGTCAGAGTGATCTTAATGCAGCTGACACTCAGCCAGCTGTGGCACAATCCCGGTAGTGGAGACTTATATTATTAAGTTTAAAGCAGAAACCTGGCTTCAGATCCTGGGATATAGGGCCTGTCTGGAAGGGACCAAGATGTGTGAAAGCCTTTCTTACTTGCATCACAAATATAAATAGGAAGGTAGCAAAGATTTCACTGGCTCTCAGAAAACACGTAACAGCATTTGAAAAAAAAGTTTATTCCTGGTTTTAAAATGTTGTGGCCCAGTCTGTGTGTATATGTGTTTTGTGTGTGTATATATTTGTGTATATGTGTGTGTGTGTGTGTGTGTTTGTTTATATATTTCCAGAATAAGGAAACTCCCAGCAATATGTCCCTAAACGCACTTTATTAGTGATCTAAGGTTGTCTGCACATTTCATCCCTCTCCAAAACTTCTATCCCAGTTACATGTCACCTTGTCATGCCCAGCATTTTTTTTAAAAAAAAATTTAATTATTATATCTGGCCCAACCATAGGTTTTTAAACGTGTCGTGTTATTGTTAATGTTTATTGCTTATTTTTTGCTTATGAGTTTCAGACCTCACCCCTGAGGATGCTTGCCATAGATGCAGGCAAAACGTCAGGAGAAACGCCTCTAGAACATGGCCCTATAGCCCGAAAAAAAACCCACAAGAACTGAGTATGAGTTTATTTATTGTATGGTGGAAGGCTTTCATGGCCGGAATCACTGGGTTGTTGTAGGATTTTTCGGGCTATATGGCCATGTTTTAGAGGCATTCTCTCCTGACGTTTCGCCTGCATCTATGGCAAGCATCCCCACTACCTCTGAGGATGCTTGCCGTAGATGCAGGTGAAATGTCAGGAGAGAATGCTTCTAGACCATGGCCATATAGCCTGAAAAAACCTACAACAACCCAGTTTATTTATTGTTTTGTATTATTGTTGCTATTGTTTATTGTTGTATTGTGGGCTCGGCCTCATGTAAGCCGCACCGAGTCCCTTGGGGAGATGGTAGCGGGGTACAAATAAAGTATTATTGTTATTATTATATGTGTGGTTTCTCGCATGCGTTGTAATGTAATTTTTAATTTTTGGCTCTTTAAGTTTCTTCCACTATGGTAGGTGCATTGTGTCCAAATTTGGTGTCAATTGGCCCATTGGTTTTTGAGCTATGTTACTCCCACAAACGAACATTACATCTTTATTTATATAGATTAATTCTTACTTTGAAAGTGGTTGTTATACTCCAAAAAACTTAGACCCCTTCTACACAGCTGTATAAAATCCAGATTGTCTGCTTTGAATTGGATTATATTATATGGCAGTGTAGATTAAGGATCCTTCCACACAGCCATATAACCCAGAATATCAAGGCAAATAATCCACAACATCTGCTCTGAATTGGATTAACTAAGGGCCCTTCCATGCTGCCCATTTATCCCAAGATCTGACTCATATTATTATCCCAGCTTATCTGGCAGCGCAGACTCAGGGCCCTTCCAGACAGGCCCTATATCCCAGGACCTGATCCCAGGTTTTCTGTTTATCCCAGATTATCTGACAGTGCGGACTCATAACATCCAGTTTAAAGCGGAAAACCTGGGATCAGATCCTGGTATATAAGGCCTGTCTGGGAGAGCCCTCATATATTCCAGTTTAAAGCAGATAATCTGGGATCAGATCCTGGTATATAGGGCAGTGTGGAAGGGCCCTGAGTCCACAACGCCATATTCATATTTGGTTGAGAAACACTGAACTAGATGCTTAATGCCCTGCATAATTCAAGCTTGCTTTACAATGTATTTTAATTATAACTTCCTGGCACCTTCATAAGTATGAAAGCAAGTGTTGAGTATCAGGAATAGACAGTGTCATGTTTACAGTTTTCAAAACGATGTGACTTTTTTGTGTTCCAGAGTCAGCTGCGAAACCATGAAAGAGAGCAACACAGCCTGCAAGAGATTTACTCAGCGGCCTCAACTGACAGCCTGATAACTTGCAGTGAAGTGGATGAAAGAGTTGGTACTGTATCCCTTTTTCATTTGCTTGTTCCTAATACCTGAGCAAGAATGCCGCCATTGCTAGCAATGTACACAGCTTGAAGTGCTCCTGTTTAAAAGTAACTTGTTTCTGTTAATTGTTACATTGGGGAAGTGCAAAAGTAATCTATTATGTTACTCATCATTCTTTTGATATTTTGTTATTTATCTATATGCTATCCTTGTGGAATGTCTTCCCATGGCAAGTCTTTATTTACCAATAAGCAAAGACTTTGCTCGTTGCATCAAAAATAAAATTGACTGTGGCCACTGTGTTACTTCCTAGTGTGTTAAATGCACACTTTGGCAACATCGTTGTAGAGATATTCTATTTACAGCTAAGACAGCATGCCAGGGAAGCTTTGACATGTTACACTTACTCCCTGGAAAATAACAAGAGGGGAAGACTTTTTAGTAGGGTTCACAATATCTTTATTAATGACTTAGATCAAGGGTCCTCAAACTTTTTAAACAGAGGGCCAGGTCACAGTCCCTCAAACTGTGAGAGGAAGTCCTAGGGAGGAGGGAGCAAGCTTGTTTTCTGTTGCCCTAGAGACTAGGTCGCAATGGAGCAATGGCTTCAAAGTACAGGAAAGGAGATTCCACCTGCATATGAGGAAGAACTTCCTGACTGTGAGAGCTGTTCAGCAGTGGAACTCTCTGCCACAGAGTGTGGTGGAGGCTCCTTCTTTGGAGGCTTTGAAACAGAGGCTGGGTGGCCATCTGTCGGGGGTGCTTTGAATTTGATTTTCCTGCTTCTTGGCAGAATGGGGTTGGACTGGATGGCCCATGAGGTCTCTTCCAACTCTAGGATTCTATGAAATATGTGAGGGGAAGTCATAGAGAGGAGGGAGCAAGCTTGTTTTCTGCTGCCCTGGAGACTAGGACGCAATGGCTTCAAACTACAGGACAGGAGTGGAACCCTTCAGACAACCCCATTGCCTTGGTGCTATAAGAGGGCTTTAGCACCAATGCAGTGTGTTGCCACATGGTTTTGAGGCAACAGTGGAGTAATAGTGAGGCCGCGGACCATACTTTCGTTCTTGCGGACCACTGGTGGTCCACGCACCACAGGCTGGGAACCACTCGGTTAGAACAACCTACTGAGATCAATTCCCAAACTGTCCTGTTTTCTTTCTGTGCGGAATCAGCTGCAGAGCCACATTCATTATCTCACAAAATGTCCCTTGTCATGGTGAGGAACTTGTCTAAATTCTCCAACTGATTCTTTTACACTCATCACTCTACTCTCCTTGCTTTCATCTTCCAATTTAATCCCATTTTTCCAACCTTACTATTTAACCAAGTTTTGTTGTGTTGTAATTTATTTTAGTTGCTATTGCAGGAATTTTGGGATTGTGATTGGTGTCTATTTGTCACTGTATCTTCATCTTTTATTGTTGACTAGCTGTACCCACCACGCACATTGCTGTGGCCAACCTTCCCTCTTTCTTTCTTTCTTTCTTTCTTTCTTTCTTTCTTTCTTTCTTTCTTTCTTTCTTTCTTTCTCTCCTTCCTTCCTTCCTTCCTTCCTTCCTTCTCTTCCTCTTTTTGTTCTTTCTCTCCTTTCTTCCCTCCCTCTTTTCTTCCTTTCCACTTTTCAGTTCCCTTCTTCTTTCTTCCTTCTCTACCTTTTTCGTTTCTCGCTTCCTTTGCTCTTTGGTTCCATCCTTCCTTGTCTCTTTCCTTCCTTCCCTCCCTCTTTCTCTCTTTCCTTCCTCCTTCCTTCTCTACCTTTCTTTCTATCCTTCTCTCCTTCTTTCCCTCTTTCTCTCCTTCCTTCTCTCCTTCCTTCCCTCCTTCCTTCCTTCCTTCCTTATTTCTGTGTTTGTGTTTTGCATGTGCATATATGTGTGTATATATTTGTGTATATGTGTATGTGTGTTTGTGTACATATGTGGTTTTGTGCATTCGTTGTAATGTATTTTTTGTTTTTTGGCTCTTTAAGTCTCTTCTGCTGTATTTTCCAATGTTTTTATGAGTGATGGTCGCTCGTTGGCCTAATAGGTGTCTTGTGCCCAAATTTGGTGTCAATTCCCTCAGTGGTTTTTGAGTTATGTTAATCCCACAAACGAACATTACATTTTTATTTATATAGACTAGCTCCCCTGCCATGCATTGCTGTGGCCAACCTTCCCTCTTTCTCTCCTTCCTTCACTCCCTCTGTCCTTCTTCCTTCCCGTCTTTCCTTCTCTTTTTCCTTCCTTCTATATCTCTTTCCTTCCTTCCCCCTTTTTCTTTCTCTTCTGCTCTCTTCCTTCTCCCTTTCCTTCCCTCCCTCTTTCTCTACATCTTGCCCCCTTCCTTCACTCCCTTTCCTTCCTTCTTTCCCTTTTTTCTTTCCTTCTCTCCTTCCTTCCTTCTCTAATTTTCCCTCCCTCTTTCTCTACTTTCTTCCTTTTCTACCTCTTTCCTTCCTTCCTTCTCCCTTTGCTTCCATGCTTCCTTCTCCCTTTCCTTCTTTCTTTCTCTCCCTCTTTTCTTTCTTTCTTTTTCCCCTTCCTTCCCTCTTTCTTCCCTTTTTCTGTATTGTCATTTAGCTTTTCGTCATTTACCTTTTTGGGCTTTTAAAGTCCCTTCTGCTGTGTTTTTCAATGTTTTTATGAGTGAAGGACATACATTGGGTTGTCAGGTGTCTTGTGTCCAAATTTGGTATCAATTCCCCCAGTGGTTTTTGAGTTCTGTTAATCCCACAAACGAACATTACATTTTTATTTATATAGATACAGTCAGTGGACTCATCAATAAATAGATCTATTTATTTATTTATTTATTTATTTATTTATTTATTTATTTATTTTAAAAGTTTTATATACCGGCCTCCTCACCTCTCTTGAGGGACACAGACCAGTTTCCAACCATAATATCACATACAATCAATAAAACATCATAATTCATATTACAGTAAAACATTAAAACAACAATTACATTCAATAACTACAATGATCAGTCGTCACACTAAAATCGTTGCTCATCATCCTCCATCCATAACTCAGGGTGTTGGCTCACTCGTCGAATGCCTGTCTCCATAACCACGTCTTCACCTGTTTCCTAAATGTCAGGATAGGAGGGGCGGTTCTGATCTCCAGTGGGAGAGAGTTCCAGAGTTGAGGGGCCACCACCGAGAAGGCCCTGTCCCTCGTCCCCCACCAGGCGCGCTTGCGAGGCCGGTGGGACCGAGAGCAGGGCCTCTCCAGACGATCTTAATAATCTTGATGGTTCATAGGGGAGAATACGTTCGGAGAGGTAAACAGGGCCGGAGTCGTTTAGGGCTTTATAGGTCAACACCAGCACTTTGAATTGTGCTCGAAAGCTAATTGGCAGCCAGTGGAGCTGGTGTAACAGCGGAGTGGTGTGCTCCCTGTACCCAGCACCCGTTAGTAACCTGGCTGTCGAAAGCTGGACCATTTGAAGCTTCCGAGCAGTCTTCAAGGGCAACCCCACGTAGAGAGCATTGCAGTAGTCTAAACGGGATGTAACCAAAGCGTGGACCACCGTGGCCAAGTCAGACTTCCCAAGGTACGGGCGCAGCTGGCGCACAAGTTTTAATTGTGCAAAGGCTCCCCTGACCACCTCCGAAACCTGGGACTCCAGGCTCAGCGATGAATCTAGGAGAACTCCCAGACTGCGAACCTGTGCTTTTAGGGGGAGTGGAACCCTGTCCAGCACAGGCTGTCACCCTATGCCCTGTTCGGCCTTTTGACTGACCAGGTGTACCTCTGTCTTGTCTGGATTTAGTTTAGTTCAATCTGTTGTCCCTCATCCAGTCCGTCACAGCGGCCAAGCACTGGTTCAGGACCGGAAAGTATCTATCTTATACTTTCTTTGCTACTGCCTACAGATCCTTAGAGAAGCCAGTTGGTTTTAGTTGTCTTTAACTGGAAGACTCTGGAATTAAGAGATGACAGTAATGATTCAATGTGATGCTTCCCTTCTTTCCTCCTCCCTCATTTCTGCAGATATGACACACAAGCCTTGCATTGATTCTTAATGTGCTTCTTTTTCATTTCAAAACCTCGAGTTGGAAGAATGACTTGACTGAAAATGTTCTCCTTCTTAAAAGCATTCATCACACGAGAATGTAAGCTTTCTAGGGTATTTTGAAAACTCCTTGCAGTCATATGAAGGCTCCGTTGCAGGAGGAAGGAGGCCCTCTTGTCGGGCAGATGCCGCCTCTATAAAAACAGCCCGAACACGAGACGTTTATGGCGTAGCATCTGTTTATGTGCAAGAACATTCCTTTCATGTTTACGAAATTGTCGGCACTTCCCTTGATCATGGCTGCGCTACGGAGTTGAAGGGATCTTGTGATTGTAAATGCCTGATAATGTGGGCTTGTTGCAATAATGTACATTATAGAAACACCTGCTTTTGGTGCTAGATTGAAATCGGTCACTTCATCATATACCTTTATCTATCTTCGTGGCTTCCCCCTCCCTTCACACACATATATTCCAGGGATCCGCTCAGTTTCCAGAATCTGGGTAAGAGAGTTCTGATTATTGCAAAATGAAAAGTCTGAGCTAGGGACATAATTATGGGCAAAATATGATGGAAATTAGGGGTTGTGGTTTGATGTTTATCTCTAGGCAGTATACTTTGATTTGCCAATGGGCACTATTTCATTCCTTGCTATATAATCCAATTTTTGTAACATGTCAGAAGCGACTTGAGAAACTGCAAGTCACTTCTAGTGTGAGAGAATTGGCTGTTTGCAGGGCCGTTGCCCAGGAGATGATGATGATGATGATGATGATGATGATAACTTTATTTTTATACCCCGTCAATCATCTCCCCGAGGGGACTCGGGGCGGCTTACAAGGGACAAGCCCAAAAAACAATTAAAACACTTACCAATTAAAAACATCAGATAAAAACAATGCAACACAATTATACACAGTATAATAATAATAATAATAATAATAATAATAATAATAATAATAAATTAAATTAAAATAATAAATTAAATTAAAATAATAATAATAATAAATAAATTAAATAATAATAAAAAAGAGCAAGATGGCTGAAAAGAAAAATGTCCAGATGTGTTACTATCCTGTAGGAGGCTTCTCTCGTCCCCCCCTGTATGGGAAGCTGGAGCTGACAGTTGGGAGCTCACCCTGTCTCATGGATTTGAACCGCCAGCCTTCAAGTCAGCAGTTCAGATGGCACAAGGGTTTAACCCGTTGCATCACTGTGACTCCCAATTAAGGAAAGTCTTAACTTTCCAAAATAACTTGGGGTCCTAGGCTTCAGCCTTAAAGGTGTAATAGTATAGAAGATTCCTCAGCGTTCGTTTTGGGAGGTTACAACCTAACAAAGATAAACCAGAGCATTCTTCATTAAAAAAATTTGTGGATTAAACCCACCTCTTAAATTTGTTTTGCGTGTTCTGTATCATTCTAGTCACCATCTGTCCAAAAGGAGAGAAAAAGTGGGGTATGAACAACAATAATAATAATAATCTGCTTAAAGTGCAAAAGACAAAGAGGGAATACTGTAAAAACACAATCCAGAGCAGAAGAGAAAACTGGCCAAAGAAGGCTCTCTCTCCATGGACAGTCCCTGGGGAAAATTGAGAGCCAAATGGACAAAGAAAAAACATGGTTGCGGCTCACAAATGGGACTCTGAAAAAGGAGACAAAGGAGGAGGGCCTGATTCTGGCAGCCCAAGAACAAGCCATTCAAACCAAGGCCATCAGGCAGAATTGAAAAGTCATCACATACTCAGTTGCTGTAAGAAGATCGTGCAGACAGACTACAAGCAGAGGCACAACACATTGCTCAGGTGATTCATTGGAACTTGTGCCACAAACATCATCTGCCTGCAACAAAGAACTGGTGGAATCACAAGCTGGAAAGAGTTACAGAGAATGAACACGGCAAACTCCTCTGGGACTTCTGGATTCAGACAGACAGAGTTTTGGAGCACAATACTCCGGACCTCACGACCGTGTTAAAAAGCAAAGTATAGATCGTGGATGTTGCAATCCCAGGTGACAGCAGGATTGCAGAGAAACAACTGGAAAAGCTGACACGATATGAGGATTTCAAGATCGAACTGCAAAGACTCTGGCACAAGCCAGTCAAAGTGGACCCAATGGTGATTGGCACACTGGGTGCAGTGCCTCAAGACCTTGGTCTGCACTTAAATACAATCGGCGCTGACAAGATTACCATCGGCCAGCTGCAAAAGGCCACCTTACTGGGATCTGCACGCATTATTCGCCAATACATCACACAGTCCTAAACACTTGGGAAGTGTCTGATGTGGGGTCTCATACAATAGCCAGCAGAGTGACTTTGTTTGCTGTATATCAATCTTCTTATGTATCAAACAGTAGTAATAATAATAATGTAACAATCCCTGGTCTAATCCATTGTCTTTTTGTGCCCTTGTCATGCAGGAGATAGGGTTTCCGTCCAGAAACTGTATCGGTGTGATATCTGTGATTATACGAGCACAACGTATGTCGGTGTACGGAATCATAGGCGGATTCACAACTCTGATAAGCCATACAGGTAGGTATCTCACTGTTTTCTTTTCCTAGAACTTAAGAAACCTTTTCTTTTGGTCACCCATTCTAAATATAGATTACTAGCCATCCCCTGCCATGCGTTGGTGTGGCCCAGTCTGTGTATATGTGTTTTGTGTGTGTATATACATGTATATGTGTCTATATGTAGTTTGTGCATGCGTTGTAATGATTTTTTTTTTACTTTTTTGGTCTTTTAAGTCTCTTCTGCTGTGATTTTCAGTGTTTTTATGAGTGATGGTCACTCATTGGCATGAGAGGTGTCTTGTGTTCAAATTTGGTGTCAATTAGCCCAGTGGTTTTTGAGTTATGTTAATCCCACAAACGTGCAGCTGGCACACAAGTTTTAACTGTGCGAAGGCGCTCCTGGCCACTGCTGACACCTGGGGTTCAAGGGTCAGTGATGAGTCCAGGATCACCCCCCAGACAGCGGACCTGTGTCTTCAGGGGGAGTGTACCCTGTCCAACTCAGGCTGTAATCCCACACCCTGATCTGCCTTACGACTGACCCAGAGTACCTCTGTCTTGTCTGGATTTAGTTTCAGCTTGTTGACCCTCATCCAGTCAGTTTCTGATGACAGGACCAGAACGGCATCCTTATATATCTGTGGAAGGTTTATATATCTGTGGACTCACCACTTCTTTCTTTCCTTCAGATGTCGCGTGTGTGACTTTGCAACGACTAATATGAATAGCCTGAAATGCCATATGAGGCGCCATCCGCAGGAGCACCAGGCCGTTCAGCTGATGGAGCAATTCAAGTAATTGCTTATTGTTATTGTTTTTATACGGTTTATACTATATGTAATTGTTTTTTACTGTTTTTTATCTTGTGGGGCATTGATTGCCAAATGTAAACCGCTTCGAGTCGCCTCCAGGCTGAGAGGGGTATACAAGTACAGCAAATAAATAAATACATACATATCTTGATTCCCTGCAAAGGAAGCAGCAATTTGTTACACATAAAGAGTTGTGGCTTGAGGGAAAAAAACTTGGGTTTTCTTAGAGATCTCCTCACCTATTGATTCCTTAAGGAACTATATACATCTTCTCAATAGTTTTACATTTTTCAGATAAGGGAGCATCTTTTTTTTTCTTTGTACAGTGCTGCCTTGACACACTAAGGGTCTTCCACATAGTCATATAACCCAGAGTATCGAAGCAGGAAATTCCACAATATCTGTTTTGAACTGGGTTATCTGAGTCCACACTGCCATATATTCCAGTTCAAAGCAGAGAATGTGGAATTTTGGGTTGTTGTAGGTTTTTTGGGATATATGGTCATGCGCTAGAAACATTCTCTCCTGAAGTTTTTGCCTGCATCCATGGCAAGCATCCTTAGGATGTTAGAAGGGTAGTCAAGGACCACCAGAAACCACAGTATTTGCAGTTGGTCATGGCGGTTCTGTGTGGAAAGTTTGGTCCAATTCTTTCATTTTTGGTGTTCAGAATGCTCTTTGATTGTAGGTCAGTTATAAATCCCAGTAACTACAACTCCCAAATGTCAAGGTCTATTTTCCCTAATCTCCATCCCTGTTCATATTTGGGCATATGGAATATTCACGCCAAGTTTGGTCCAGATCCATCACTGTTTGAGTCCACAGTGCTTTCTGGAGGTAGGTGAACTACAACTCCGAAACTCATTGTCAATAAATCCCAGTAGCTACAACTCCCAAATGTCAGGGTTTATTTTCCCTAAACTCCCCCAGTGTTCACATTTGGGCATATTGAATATTTGTGCCAAGTTTGGTCCAGATCCATCATTGTTTGAGTCCACAGTGCTTTCTGGAGGTAGGTGAACTACAACTCCAAAACTAAAGGTCAATGCCCACCAGACCCTTCCAGTATTTCCTGTTGGTCATGGCAGTTCTGTGTGCCAAGGTTGGTCCAATTCCATCATTGGTGGAGTTCTGAATGCTCTTTCATTGTAGGTTAACTATAAATCCCAGCAACTACAACTCTCAAATGACAAAATCAATTTATTTGAGTGATGGTCACTTCTTGGGTTAGTACGTGTCTTGTGTCCAAATTCAGTGTCAATTCTCCCAGTGGTTCTTGAGTTATGTTAATCCCACAAACGAACATTACATTTTTGTTTATATAGACAACACAGAATGTTATATTTAGTGTTGTACTAAATTCAACTCTTTCAAGCACTTTTAACACTTGTTAACAGTTTTCAATTGTCTCTCTTTCGTTATACTATGTAACACGGTTTTTGTTCTTGGGTTACATATGTCATTTCCTAAGTGGTTCTATCATGAAAAAATGGAAAAAGTTTATTGAACTGCAAAAAAAAAAACCCTTTGTTTTGGCAGAAGGGCCATCCTGCAACACATTTTGCTCTAGTTTTTCAATATCTCATCGAGTCTCAACCAATTCAACGTAGTTTGTGGCAGCCACAAAAATAAAGTTTCTGGAGTATAACATCTCATTTCAAAGTAAGGACTGCACCATTAATCAGGAAATAACACTTTCAAAACAGGAACGGAACATTTTCCAAATTTTGTAACAGAGTGTTATTGGAAGGATAGGATTCAGCACCTTGGATAGCTCCATACAAGGATTCCACCCCCAAATGTATTTTTAACCTCCCCTCCCCAGTGAATTTGTTGTTGCACAAGCTCTGGATTGTGCAACAACTATATATATATATATATATATACACCATCCTTTTGTCTCCAAGCATATTCACCAGCCGCTTAATTTGTCACAGTCTGACATTTTTTCCCTGCCAAATAATTTTAGTCTACTCGCTCTCTCCTGATATCAACTTTACACTTTAATTCTATCTACAGTAATTCTTTCCACACCATTATAACAACACCTCTCACTGTAACTTAATTTATATACAGATTTATTTATTTATGGCATTTATATGCCACCCTTCTCACCCCTCAGGGGACTCAGCGTGGCTTACAAGATATATATACATACAATATATTATATTATATAGGAGAGGTCATCCGGAGTTTTTGAGTTGGGTGCCATCTCTATGCAGACCGCTGTGGCTGTCTGAATGAGGAGAAACAAGCTGAGGATCAATCCCGACAAGACAGAGGTCCTCCTGGTTGATCGTAAACTAGATCGAGTTATAGGGTGGCAACCTGTATTGGATGGGGTTGCACTCCCAACAATCCTCCTGATAGATAGATTAGATAGAGATAGATAGTAGGCTTGGGTAATTACAGAAAAATTTGGTTCTAAACTCGATTCGTTTTTAGGGGGGCCTTGCGTTTCGTTTTTTTAAAGAATTCCGAAATTTTCCTTTAAAAAAGTTCGAAAGATACGAAATTTCGTAAAATTACGAATCGATTTGTTAATGGCGGACGTGATTGCGCAATATGCTAAAAACCCCTCCAAATGGGAGAGGGGGAACTTCTGAAGCTTCCCTCTCCCTCTGTTGTTGACTGTTGGTGTGATAATTTATTTTTTATCACTGATAAAACCAACAACTATAAAACTTGCACCAGACATACGGAAATAATTACGAAACAATTTAGAAACAATTTTGAACCAATTACGAAACAATACGAAATAAATTGGAAAAATTGTTTCGATTTTTAATTACTCCTCACAGTAGTCCTGCATGCCTCAATATTGGATCGTAAGCTAATTTAAATACGGATTAATTACGAATTACGAAATTAACGAATGAAACCGCCCAAGCCTAATAGATAGGTAGGTAGATCGATCAGGAGGACCACTGGGAGTTGCAGTCCAATAATTGGTAGAGAAGGAAGAAAAGAGAGAAAGAGGAAGTGAAAGAAAAGCGGGGGGGGGGAGGGAGGGAAGAAGAAGAGAAGGAAGGAGAGAAGGAAATAAAAAAGGGAAGGAAGGAAAGGAAGGAAGGGGAGAAAGAAAGGAGGAGAGAAAAAGGGAGGGAAGATTGGCCACAGCAACGTGTTGTGGGTACAGCTAGTCTATATAAATACAAATGTAATGTTTGCTTGTGGGATTAGCATAATTCAAAAACCACTGGGTGAATTGACACCAAATTTGGACACACAAGACACCTCTCAAGCCAACGAGTGACCATCACTCATAAAAACACTGAAAAACACAGCAGAAGACACTTAAAAAGCCAAAATAATAATATATATATATGTATACATACACACACACACACACACACTAGCCGTCCCCTGCCACGCATTACTGTGGCCCACTCTGGTGGTCATGGGGGTTCTGTGTGGGAAGTTTGGCCCAATTCTATCATTGGTGGGGTTCAGAATGCTCTGTGATTGTAGGTGAACTACAAATCCCAGCAACTACAACTCCCAAATGTCAAGATTCTATTTTCCCCAAACTCCACCAGTGTTCACATTTGGGCATATTGAGTATTCGTTTAGAGTTTGGTCTAAACTACATATATTCACCATCCTTTTGTCTCCAAGCATATTCACCAGCTACTTAATTTGTCACAGCCTGATATTTTTTTTCCTGCCAAATTGTTTTCGTCTACTCGCTCTCTCCTGATATCAATTCTATCTACAGTAATTCTTTCCACACCATTATAACAACACCTCTCACTGTAACTTTATATTTATATTTATTTATTTATTTATGGCGTTTATATGCCACCCTTCTCACCCCACAGGGGACTCATGTTGGATTAGATACATCACCAGCAGGCCTGTAGCGAGGGGGTGGTTTTAGGGGTTCAACCCCCCCCCCGAAATGTTTCAGATTTTTTTTAAAAAACCTGGTTTACTCATGAATTTTAACTGGTTAACCAAATCCCCATGCTAAGTCTATGAGATGCAAAAAATTAAGAGTCCCTCCAGAACTGTAAGCACTATCTCAAGCAAATATTGACAATTTATTCACACTGTCATTACTTGCAGCAATAACCGATGTAGTGAAGCAACCAAGTTGGGGGATGTGTGTGTTGAATGCTCTCATTAAGGAGGCCAGACTTGGTGGAGGTGGTTGACAGGGGCGGAGCTGCAGGCTATGGAAGGCTGCTCTGCCCCCTGCTATGCTCTTGGCTTCAGCGTGAGCTAGGAGGCAGGTTTCAACACCCCCCCACGAAATTTTCAACCCCCCCCCCCTCCCAAATTTCAACTCCTCCTGAAATTGTATGCAGGGCTACGGCCCTGCATACAATATATTATATTATATGGGAGAGGTCATCCGGAGTTTTGGAGTTGGGTGCCATCTCTATGCAGATGACACACAACTACTACTCTTTTCCACCTAACTCCAAGGAAGCCCCTCGGGTGCTGGATGAGTGCCTGGCCACTATGGCTATCTGGACGAGGAGGAACAAGCTGAGGATCAATCCCGACAAGACAGAGGTCCTCCTGGCCGATCGTAAACCAGATCGAGTTATAGGGTGTCAACCTGTACTGGACGGGGTTGCACTCCCAACAATCCTCCTGATAGATAGATTAGATAGAGATAGATAGGTAGGTACATCGATCAGGAGGACCAATGGGAGTTGCAGTCCTGAATTGGTAGAAAAGGAGGAAAGGAGAGAAAGAGGAAGTGAAAGAAAAGGAGGGGGGAAGGAAGGGAAGAAGAAGAGAAGGAAGGAGAGAAGGAAATAAAAAAGGGAAGGAAGGAGAGAAAGAAAGGAGGAGAGAAAAAGGGAGGGAAGATTGGCCACAGCAATGTGTTGTGGGTATAACCAGTCTATATAAATAAAAATGTAATGTTTGCTTGTGGGATTAGCATAATTCAAAAACCACTGGGTGAATTGACACCATATTTGGACACACAAGACACCCCTCAGGCCAACGAGTGACCATTACTCATAAAAACACTGAAAAACACAGCAGAAGACACTTAAAAAGCCAAAAAAATTAAAAAACACATTACAACACATGCGCATATATATATATACACACACACACACTAGCCGTCCCCTGCCACGCATTGCTGTGGCCCACTCTGGTGATCATGGGGGTTCTGCTTGGGAAGTTTGGCCCAATTCTATCATTGGCGGGGTTCAGAATGCTCTGTGATTGTAGGTGAACTACAAATCCCAGCAACTACAACTCCCAAATGTCAAGATTCTATTTTCCCCAAACTCCACCAGTGTTCACATTTGGGCATATTGAGTATTTGTGTAGAGTTTGGTCCAGATCCATCATTGTTTCAGTCCACAGTGTTCTCTGGATGTAGGTGAACTACAACTCCAAAACCAAAGGACACTGCCCACCAAACCCTTCCAGTATTTTCTGTTGGTCATGGGAGAACTGTGTGCCAAGTTTGGTGCAATTCCATCGTTGGTGGGGTTCAGAAGGTTCTTTGATTGTAGGTGAACTATAAATCCCAGCAACTACAACTCCCAAATGACAAAATCATTTTTTTTTTTTAGTGAAGGACATACATTGGGTTGTTAGGTGTCTTGTGTCCAAATTTGGTATCAATTCGTCCAGTGGTTTTTGAGTTCTGTTAATCCCACAAACCAACATTACATTTTTACTTATATAGATATATATATATACATATGCAAACACATATATATACGAATATATACACACATGTACACACACAAAACACACACAAAACACAAGGCTAGTAGTTTATATATAATGCTTGAAATTTCCTAGGGATTAAACTATGTATTCGTCTTTATGTTCCACATTTGAAAGAATTATCTGTTAGGTAAATATGTCAAATGTGTGTGATCTTTAACAAATAGTGCGCAAAATGAGTTCCTGGTTGAAGCAGGTCAGGATAGAAGTGGAACGCGTGTAGAATGTCTTTGAGTGGACTCAATTTTGGAGAAGGCTTCCTGGTTTGATACTATTCTCATTCTGTCTCCTCTCCTTTGTTGTTCCAGGTGTTCTTTGTGCGGATATGTGTGTAGTCATCCTCCTTCATTGAAATCCCACATGTGGAAACACGCAAGTGACCAAAATTACAACTACGAACAAGTGAACAAAGCTATTAATGATGCGATTTCACAAAGCGGCAGGTAGGTGTGTGTTTTGGAGTATTTGGAATTTCTAATACAGGGAGACACTGCAAACAACGACAACGCACAAATAACTTGGTCACCTTCACTGCCATCACATTAACTTTGACTTATGGCAACCTTATTTATTCGTTTATTTATTTATTTACAGTATTCATATTTCGCCCTGTTCACCCCAGATCACAGAACACGTATATGGCAAACATTTAGTACCAGTTATACAGACAACATATAGAGGTGTGTGTGTGTGTATAAATTTAATGTTTGTTTGTGGGATAAACATAACTCAAAAACTACTGGACGAATTGACACCAAATTTGGTCAACGAGGGACCATCACTCATAAAAACACTGAAAAACACAGCAGAAGAGACTTCAAAAGCAATGCATGCGCAAAACCACATATATACACACACAAATATACACATATACACAAATATATACAGAAATAATTACACACATATGCACACACAAAACACATACACAGAAAAGGGGAAGGAGAGAAGGAGGGAAAGAAGGAAAGAAAGAAAGAAAGGTCAAGAAGGAAGGGAGGGAGGAGAGAAGGAAATAAAAAAGTGAAAGAAGGAATGAGAGAAGGAATGAAAGAGAGAAAGAGGGAGGGAAGGAAGGATGGAAGGAAGGAAAGGGGCAAGGAAGGATGGAACCAAAGAGCAAAGGAAGTGAGAAAAGAAACAAGTAGAGAAGGAAGAAAATAGAAGGGAAATAAAAAGAGGGAAGGAAGGAAGAAAAGAGGGAGGGAAAGAAGGCGAGAAAGATGGAGGGAAGGAAGGAAAGAGACAAGGAAGGATGGAACCAAAGAGCAAAGGAAACAAGTATAGAAAGAAGAAAGAAGAAGGGAAAGAAAAAGAGGGAAGGAAGGAGAGAAAGAAAGAAGGAGAGAAAGAGGGAGGGAAGGAAAGAAAGAGAGAAGGAAGGATGGACCCAAAGAGCAAAGGAAGTGAGAAAAGAAACAAGTAGAGAAAATAGAAGGGAAAGAAAAAGAGGGAAGGAAGGAGAGAAAGAGTGAGGGAAGGAAAGAAAGGAGAGAAGGAAAAGGTGAAAGAGGGAAGGAAGGAGAGAAGGAATGAAAAAGAGAAAGAGGGAGGGAAGGAAGGAAGAGAAGAAACAAGGAAGGATGGAACCAAAGAGCAAAGGAAGTGAAGAAAGAAACAAGTAGAGAAGGAAGGAAGAAGAAGGGAAAGAAAAAGAGGGGAGGAAGGAAGGAACGAGGGAGGGAAGGAAGGAGATAAAGAAAGAAGGAGAGAAAGAGGGAGGGAAGGAAGGATGGAACCAAAGAGCAAAGGAAACAAGTATAGAAGGAAGAAAAAAGACGGGAAAGAAAAAGAGGGAAGGAAGAAAAGAGGGAGGGAAGGAAAGAGAGAAAGAGTGAGGGAAGGAAAGAAAGGTAGAGAAGGAAGAAAGGAGAGAAGGAAAAGATGAAAGAGGGAAGGAAGTAGAGAAGGAAGAAAGAGAAAGAGAGGGAAGGAAGGAAGAGAAGAGCAAAGGAAGTGAGAAAAGAAACAAGTAGAGAAGGAAGAAAGAAGAAGGGAAAGAAAAAGAGGGAAAGAAGGAAGGAAAGAGGGAGGGAAGGAAGGAGAGAAAGAAAAGAGAGAAAGAGGGAGGGAAGGTTGGCTACAGCAACGTGTGGCGGGTACAGCTAGTTATCACTAAACCAGTTTCTGCATTTCTTAGGTTTCCAGCTCAGCTTCCTGGGAAGATGATCATTGAAAGCTCTGACGAGAGCGCAGTTCCCCCGACAGGGAACTCGGAGGGCTTGACGTTGCCGGACTCCTCCGAAGAGATTGCCGTCAAAACCATGAATTCCGACGAAAACCAAAACCCCGCTGCTCCTTCTACAACCAATACCTCGTCCAGCTCAGAAAAAAACACTAACTTGGGCGCAGAATACTGCGTCCTCCTCTTCTGCTGCTGCATCTGTGGATTTGAATCCACCAACAAAGAACATTTGTTGGATCACATGAAGGAGCACGAAGGCGAAATCATCAACATCATCCTGAACAAGGACCACGCTGCGGCTCAGAGCATCAGCTAAGAGGAGGAAACACCCTGTCAATCCTTTCCTGAAGACCTCGCTAAAGAGAAGACCCGTAACAAAGGCATCCATGTGCCCAACTTCGCAAGTCTTTGTGTCCACGGGAAAGCCGATTATTTCATAAGCTCTTAACGCAACCGAATAGTAAATATTGATGGCAATGGGCCACTGAGACTGTTATCCCTGCTGACAGAGACCTTTTCAATGCCTATTGCTAATCCAAAGCATAGTATTATCATAGGAAATCCACACTAAGGTGTTAACTCAAAGGGGTTTAAACTCCATGCCTTGAAACTTATCTTAAGGGTGTCGAATTCATTTCAGAGATATATATATACATTAATCTCAATGTGAACAACTATAGGTTCATGAAGCAGAGAGTGAAAGAGAAGACCAAGCCATGCTTTGAGCCCAATTGCTTCTTCTGCAGAAGAGAACGATCCCTCTCTGATACAAACAGCATGAAACAAGTTGGCGTCTCACAAATTACTTCGCTGGCAAGGTATGCGTTGGGTGGGTTTTTTTCCCCCCTCCAGTATGAGATGTTATAATAGGATGCTTATCTAATTGGGTCTTTTTAAAATACGTATATCAGCAAGCATTTAAGGAGTGGTATGATTGAGTTCCAGTCCCTCAAGATGCCATAACATACATGGGTTGAATTCAATTGTTTATTGTACTAGACGTAGGCCATGACATAAAATATACAACCTTTCAAAGTACAATAAGCACTTTTATTTATTTATTTATTTACATTATTTCTATCCCCCCTCCCCCCCCCCCCCCATTTCAGCCTGAAGGCGACTCAGGGCAGTATAGAAATAATGTAAATAAATAAATATAAATATTAAAACCTGTTCTGTATACTGGCTCTTTAAAATTATAGTAGTAGTGACATGATAACAATGACAAAAGTCTGATTTTGTATCCTCCCAAAATATCTCCATTTCCATTTCTGGCTTCTGCTGTGGACTTGACTAGTTGGGCCCGGATTTTTTTGGGGCCGCGACTGCAAATGTGGCCACCTTTAATGTTATATTTTTGGAATAATCTGCTAACAAGTCACAGGTAGCTGCTGACTGTTGCCATGCTGCCCTTTCTTCCAAAAGAAGATTGTTTCCAGGGTCATTATACAGTGGGCAATGTAAAAGATAGTGTGTTAAATACTCTCTTTCACAACAAACACAAATCCACTAGAGGCATTCTCTCCTGACGTTTCGCCTGCATCTATGGCAAGCATCCTCAGAGGTAGTGAGGTCTGTTGGAACTAGGAAAAAGGGTTTATATATCTGTGGAATGACTAGAGTGGGACAAAGGACTCTTGTCTGCTGGAGCCAGGTGTGAATGTTTCAACTGACCACCTTGATTAGCATACAATGGGCTGACAGTGCCTAGAGCAAACTTTTGTTGAGAGGTGATTAGATGTCCCTGATTGTTTCCTCTCTGTTGTTGTGCTGTTGTAATTTTAGAGTATTTTAATACTGGTAGCCAGATTTTGTTCATTTTCATGGTTTCCTCCTTTCTGTTGAAATTGTCCACATGCTTCTTGTGGATTTCAGTGGCTTCTCTGTGTAGTCTGACATGGTGGTTGTGAGAGTGGTCCAGCATTTCTGTGTTCTCCAATCATCTGCTGTGTCCAGGTTGGCTCATCAGGTGCTACAAATGCTCCATTCAGCAAAGGACAAGAGGGATCCTCTCGCTTCTGCAGGAGTCTACCATATGCCATGCAGCTGTGGACAAGAAGTCTACAGAGGGACCACCAAATGCAGCCATGTCCAAACACGCATCAAGGAACGTGAAAGGCACTGCAGACTACTTGAACCAGAGAAGTCAGCCATAGCAGAGCACCTGAGGAACCAACCTGGACACAGCATGTTATTTGAGAACACAGAAATGCTTGTTTTGCTGTTGTTTTGCTGTTGTAACTTCCTACAGACTTCTGAAGATGCCAGCCACAGATGCAGGTGAAATATCAAGAGAGAATGCTACTGGAACATGGCCATATAGCCTGAAAAAACCTACAACAACCCAGTGATTCCGGCCATGAAAGCCTTTGACAATACATAGAATAATAACTGTTGCCAAAGCTAGATTTTGTTCATTTTGTTCATTTCAACAACAAAAGATTTCCCCAGGCACTAACAAGCCGCATCAAAAAAACTTCCAGGCACTCAAATGCTAATCAAGGTGGCCAGTTGAACCATTCACACCTTTCTCCATCAGACAAGAGTTCTTTGTCCCACTCTGGTCATTCTACAGATATATAAACCCTTTTTCCTAGTTCCAACAGACCTCACAACCTCTGAGGATGCTTGCCATAGATGCAGGTGAAATGTCAGGAGAGAATGCCTCTCTAGAACACGGCCATATAGCCCGACAAAACCTACAACAACCCGGAAATAAAATTGTATACAATGTTTGAGTTTTAAATACTTAATACAGAAGTTGTTCAAGGAGGCATTCCGCAAGGCGACCTAAGCTAAGATGTCTCCAGTTTGGATTATTATTTCATCTATTTCTAAATTCTATGCAACAATATGGTAAAAAAAAATGTCCTAGCGTACAGCCTAGAGTTTACAAAAATATTTCAGATATATTGAAAATAGGATTTAGATTGCAGAGATTTTTATATTGAAAAAATAACCAACAGGAAAAATTGAGAGGAGAGGCTGAATATGAAGGATGCTGTATTTTACAGCATTGTTTTGAATTGAAGCTTGATCGGAATGAGCATCCATTAACACAAAAAAATTGACAAGTGCATCGGGTTGTTGCATTCTATATTCATTTTTTAATATAAGTATGATGTCGCCATACTTATAGACTTCTGATGTGCTGAGAAATAGAAAACTAGAAGTTGCCCCTTTGTTCAGGTCCCTAAAAACTCCATCCAAAGTATTTGAAACAAAATCCAAAATAGTTTCTCGTTTTAAGACCTTGAAATTGAACTATTAATTTCCCACTGCTGTTTTGTAGCTTCTGTTTAGGACGGCTTAATGTAAAGTTTGGTTTAAAATACTTATGCAATCTGTTTAATTTAATATATATATATATACATACACACACACATACACACACACATATATTTATATATATATACATATATATTTAAATATACACACACATATATATAAATATATACATATATATATTTATATATACACACATATATATTTATATATTTATATATATACACGTATATATTTAAATATATATGTGTATATATAAATATATATATATACACACACATATATTTAAATATATACACGCATATATTTATATATATATGCATATATATATATATACGTATATATATTTATATATATATATTTATATATACACATATATATTTAAATATACACACACACATATATATATATTTAAATATATACACATATATATTTATATATATACACATATATTTATATATATATTTATATATATATACACACACATATATATGTGTGTGTGTGTGTGTGTGTATGTATATATATATATATATATATATATATATATATATATATATATATATATATACACATATACACACACACACACACACACACACACATTTATATATACATTTTTTTCCCATAGTGGATCATGCCTATTCATTACACTACAGGCTGATTGCAAAAATAGGAGTTTATGAAAGAGGGACGTTCTTAATATGGGAGAAATAATAAAAGGGCATTGTGTACATGGATTTTTTCCATTAAGTTTTACTATTAAATAGTACTTTAAAAAAATATTTACAGACTCATTACTCAACCTTTAAGATGCACAGAGAACGGGTCATCTTCATACTGACATTTTGTATTATTATTTTATTATTTTGCTATACAAAATCCGTGTATTTATCCCATTGAAGTATTCAGCCTGAAATTATTTTCATGATCATGTTGACAGTTTTGGAAAGTTGGAGTGTGAACCATTTGGGAAGTCGGAGCACGCTGGGGACATGACGCACGCCTTCCCATTCTGTTTAGGAGGACACGCATGGGCGCATACTGCTAACGATGGGGTGTTTTTGTCTTATTTAATTTCAGTAGGATTACTTTTGATGCTCTGAGTTATAATTTCTTCCGTTGCTCTTAGCTCTTGCAAGTTGCATTATGGATAAAGTTTCCGTTCCTCCTCTTGTCTGTATTCGAGGTTAGCTTTCGTTGAGATTGACTGAAACAGACGTGATATAGATTGCAACCTTATAGTGCAATGTTCAAAATTGGAGTGTATGCTGCACTTGTTAGAGATCCATTTGAAGTTTAGGACGAGCAGAACGATGCTTGCTTGCCTTTGCCTTATCCTGCTTTCAGATCCACTGGTTTTCTGCTAATTGCAAGCCCTGATTGCCAAGGAATATAACAAATAATCCAGTCAAAACAATGTGCTTTTTCTAGGAAACGATCCCTTGCAAACTGGACCTTTATAGACTGAGTCCAAGCAAAGATTGCATCCAAATCTATTGATACCTTCTTTAAGTTACCAGTACTTTCCTCCAGGAAGTTCAACCAAGCCTTGACTCAACCAGTTTGTTGATTATGAAAGGCCTACTTGGAAATGCGCTGTTAAAATCAATGGGATTTAGTATTATTTCGACAGCTTTGCCAACGGAACCTGTTTCTTCTCGCAACGGCGCGCGTCGTTCCCAACCCGAAAGGCATTTGTGGGATTCAGCCAGTGAACTGCAACGTAAAGCACTTATTTAATCCTTCAGAATGTACAGTCGGTGCTTAAGGTAAACATTAAGCTATATTTAATAGACTTTTGCATTTGATATCCAAGGGCATGGGTACATATATTTTTTTAAGAAAAGGAATTGTAATACCGCGGCGCTGCTTTTTGTAATAGCCAAAGTATAAAACTTTTAGAAAACTGACATGTAAAATAATAATAATATTGCAGATATCACCTCTTGTTGCATCTTCTCCATGGGACGGCTTCTTTTATATATAAAGACCCTTTTTCCACACATTAAGCTGCATGCCTTACGCTCTCACCAGGATTGTCGTGTTTGGAAAACTACAGAAGCAACCTTTGTAGGTCGACTTTGACTACCTTCTGAAATACTGTACATGGTTGGAATAATTTATTTTACTTTACAGAAGTTTTTGTCACGTATTGACTAATTGTATTTTGGTAATAAACGCCTTTGTTGAACACATCAAAACTGTGTGTGTCCTCAATTGTATGGGATACGTTTTCGAAGTGCATCTAATGTAGGGATACTGGCGTTTTCTGTAGATATTATACATACAATACATTATATTATTAGCATAGCCCAATATTAGTATTGTACTATATTGTACTATACCACTGTATTGCAATACTATTAGTAATATACAAATATTATATTATTATTATATATTATTATATTTATTATTATTATTATTTATTTCAGAGTTTTATATACCGACCTTCTCACCTCTTTTGGGGGACTCAGACCGGTTTCCAACCATATTGTTTTATTAGTATTATATTGTATATTATGATCAATATTTTATGTACATACAATACATCATATTATTAGCATAGCCCAATATTACTATTATAGATTACTATATTGTACTATACCACTATATTGCAATACTATTAGTAATATACAAATATTATATTATTATATTGTTTTATTAGTATTATATTGTATATTATGATCAATGTTATATGTACATACAATACATCATATTATTAGCATAGCCCAATATTAGTATTATAGATTACTATTACTATTATTATTATTATATTGTACTATACCACTGCATTGCAATGCTATTAGTAATATACAAATATTATATGTACATACAATACATTATATTATTAGCATAGCCCAATATTAGTATTATAGATCACTATTACTATTACTATTATTATTATTATTATATTGTACTATACCACTGCATTGCAATACTATTAGTAATATACAAATATTATATTATTATATATTATTATATTGTTTTATTAGTATTATATTGTATATTATGATCAATGTTATATGTACATACAATACATCATATTATTAGCATAGCCCAATATTAGTATTATAGATTACTATTACTATTATTATTATTATATTGTACTATACCACTGCATTGCAATGCTATTAGTAGTATACAAATATTATATTATTATATATTATTATATTGTTTTATTAGTATTATATTGTATATTATGACCAATATTATATGTACATACAATACATTATATTATTAGCATAGCCCAATATTAGTATTATAGATTATTATTATTATTATTATTATTATATTGTACTATACGACTGTATTGCAATACTATTAGTAATATACAAATATTATATTAGTATTATATATTATTATATTGTTTTATTAGTATTATATTGTATATTATATTATGATCAATATTATATGTACATACAATGCATTATATTATTAGCATAGCCCAATATTAGTATTATAGATTACTATATTGTAATATACCACTATATTGCAATATTATTAGTAATATTATATGTAATATACAAATATTATATTATATTTTTATTAGTATTATATTGTACATTATATTTTGATCAATATTATATGTACATACAATGCATTATATTATTAGCATAGCCCAATATTAGTATTATTATATTACTGTATTGTACAATTATTATATTATTACGTATTATTATATTGTATTATTAGCATTATATTGTATATTATGTTATGATCAATATTATATGTACATACAATACATTATTAGCATCGCCCAATATTAGTATTATAGATTACTATATTGTACTATACCACTATATTGCAATATTATTAGTATTATTACATGTAATAAACAAATGTTAAACTATTTTATATTATTATATTGTTTTATTAGTATTATGTTTTATATTATGATCAATATTATATGTACATACAATACATTATATTATTAGCATCGCCCAATATTAGTATTATAGATTACTATACTGGCACGACTGCATGGAGCGCCACTAGCTTCCCACAGAAGCAATACCTATTGATCTTCTCACATTTGAATGTTTTCAAACTGCTAGGTTGGCAGAAGCTGGGGCTAACAATGGGAGCTCACCTCGTCCACGGATTCGAATGGCCAACTTTCCAATCAGCAAGTTGTGATTGGAAGTCTAAACGACTGTCTTACTATCCTCTAAAACAGGCATATAAAATTATTATAAAATGAATTATAGTGATCATACTATGGAACTCTTTAGGTTTTAGATATACCGTACACCTGAATGCTTTGATACCTATGAGTGCATTGCTGCCGTCTCTGTCTCTTACTACGAGGCCGACATTTTCGGAGATTTCTCATCTAAAAGGCATTTGATCCAAAGGACCTGGATTGGTCTCGGAGGATTAAAAGCACAAAGGAAGCCGGATCCTCTGAGCAGACGTTCCGGGTCTTAAAAACTCCTGAAAACTGGATTTGGCAAATTAATAAATGTTATAAAGTACATTTTATTTTGTGAAAGCTTTTCCTGACTCTATCCCACTTTATTGGATAGATTTGGATATCAGTCTTCAAAATTCCATAAGACGCTTCAGTTTTGTTTTGAACAACAGACATACTGGAATAGTCTAGTGAGTATTGACCTTGAGTTTGGGAGTTGTAGTTCACCTACATCCAGGGAGCAGTATGGATTCAAACAATGATGGATCTGGACCAAACATGGCACCAATACTTCATATGCCCAAATGTGAACACTGGTGGTTTGGGGAAATAGACTTTGACATTTGGGAAATGTGGTTGCAGGGATTTATAGTTCACCTACAATCAAAGAGCATTTAGAACTCCATCAACGTTGCAGTTGAACTCAGCTTGGCACACAGAACTCCCATGACCAACAGAAAATACTGGAAGTGTCAGGAGGGCGTTGGCCTTAAGTTTTGGAGTTGTAGTTCACCTACATCCAGAGATCACTGTGGACTCAAACAATGATGGATCTGGAGCAAACTTGGCACGAATACTCAATATGCCCAAATGTGAAGACTGGTGGAGTTTGGGGAAAATGGAATTTGACATTTGGGAGTTGTAGTTGGTGGGATTTATAGCCTACAATCAGAGCATTCTGAATCCCATCACCAAGAGGTTTGGATCAATCTTCCCACACAGAACCCCTACAGCCAACAGAAAACATCTGTGCCAACACTCTCTGCCCCGGAGGGAGTGTGGTGGAGGCCCCTTCTTTGGAGGTTTTTAAACAGAGGCTGGATGGCCAACTGTCGGGGGTGCTTTGAATGCAATATTCCTGCTTCTTGGCAGAATGGGGTTGGACTGGATGGCCCAGGAGGTCTCTTTCAACTCTAACATGAACTTCCTGACTGTGAGAGCCGTTCAGCAGTGGAACTCTCTGCCCTGGAGTATGGTGGAGGCTCCTTCTTTGGGGTCTTTGAAACAGAGGCTGGATGGCCATCTGTCAGGGGTGCTTTGAATGCAATATTCCTGCTTCTGGGCAGAATGGGGTTGGACTGGATGGCCCATGAGGTCTCTTCCAACTCTAAGATTCTAGGATTCTATGATTCTATTCATGATGCCTATGCAGAAGGGAGGGAGGGAGGGAGGAAAGAAGGATGGAGGAAGGAAGGAGGAAGGGAGGAAGGAAGGAGGGGGAGGAAGGGAGGAAGGAGGAAAGAAGGAAGGTAGGAAGGATGGAGGGAGGGAGGAAGGTAGGAAGGAAGGAAAGGAAAGAGGGGGAAGGAAAGGAAAGGAAAGGAAAGAGGGAAGGAAGGAAGGGGAAGGAAGGAAGGAAAGGGGAAGGAAGGAAAGGAAGAGGAAGGGAGAAGGAAGGAAGGAAGGAAGGGGAGGGAAGGAGGGAGGAAGGGAGGAGGAAGGAAGGGGAGGGAAGGAAGGAGAAGGAAGAGGAAGGAAGGAGGAAGGAAGGGAAGGAAGGAAGGAGAGAAAGAGGAAGAGGAAGAAGGAGGGAGGGAGGAAGGAGAGGAAGGAAGGAGGAGGAAGGAAGGAAGGAAAGGAAGGAAAGGAAGGAAGGGAGGAAGGAAGAAGGAAGGAAGGAAGGATGGAGGAGAAAAGAGGAAGAAGGAAGAAGGAAGGAGGGGGAAGGAAGGAAGGCAGGAAGGAAGGATGGAGGGAGGGAGGAAGGAGGAAGGAAGGAAGGAGGAGGAGGAAGGAGGAGAGAAGAGGAAGAAGGAAGGAAGAAGAAGGAAGAAGGAAGGAGGAAGAGAAGGAAGAGAAAGGGAAGAGGAAGGAAGGCGGAGAGAAAGGAGGAAGGAAGGAGAGGAAGAAGGAGGAGGAAGGAAGGAAAGGAAGGAGGAAGGACAGAAGGAAGGAATGGAAGGAAGGAAGGAAGGAAGGAAGGAAGGAAGGAAGGAAGGAAGGAAGGAAGAGGAAGGAAGGGAGGGAGGGAGGGAGGAAGGGAAAGGGAAGGAAAGAGGGAGGGAAGGTTTCCCAGAGCAACGCGTGGCTAGCCTGGTCAATCAGTGCCAATGGCTCCTCCTCCTCCTCCTCCTGGCCCCGCCCCCTCCCTTCATTGGGGCCAATGGGAGGCGGCGCCCAAGCATCCTTCCTGCTTCTTCTTCCTTCGGATGGCGGTGGTGGTGGTGGTGCCCTCTCCTCCTCCTCCTTCTTCCTCTTCTTCCCTCAGGACACACAGAGAGGTAAAGAAAGGCCTCAAGGGGAAGGAAGGCAGGCGGGAGGGCAGGCCAGGCCTCGAAGGAGGACGAGGAGGAGGAGGAGGAGGAGGAAGGGGCTCCATGGCGGCTTAGGCCCTGCCCCACTCCTCCCCTCCTCCTCCTCCTCCTCTTCTCTCCCATGGCGGCGTCCATTCTCCCTCGAAGCCCCCAAATCCTCCCAAGAAGGTCCTGAGGGAGAGGCAGGCCTCGGGGGGCCTTCATTCTATGGAATCCACTGCTGAACAGCCCTTTGGAAGCTTTGAAACAGAGGCTGGAGGGCCATCTGTCAGGGGTGATTTGAATGCAATATTCCTGCCATCCAGTCCAACCCCATTCTGCCCAGAAGCAGGAAAATCGCCTTCAAATCACCCCCGACAGATGGCCAGCCAGCCTCTGCTTCAAAGCCTCCAAAGAAGGAGCCTCTTTCCACCACCCTCCTGGGGCAGGGAGTTCCACTGCTGAACAGCCCTTCTCACAGTCATACTATCATAGAATCCTGGTGGGCCACCCAGTCCAACCCCATTCTGCCAAGAAGCAGGAAAATCCCATTCAAATCACCAAAGAAGGAGCCTCCACCACACTCCGGGGCAGGGAGTTCCACTGCTGAATGGCTCTCACTTTTTATCAATCCTCCCCTTACTGTACTTGGCTAATTTTTCTGGAGTTTGGTACCACAGGTAGAACATCTTTACCCAGTTCTCTTTTATCTCTGTGGCGTACGCATATTTCAGTTTCATTTGCACAGCTCAGGCTCGTGCGCCAGCTGCGCCCGTATCTTGGGAAGTCTGACTTGGCCACGGTGGTACACACTCTTGTCACATCCCGCCTAGACTACTGCAACACTCTCTACGTGGGGCTGCCCCTGAAGACGGCCCGGAAGCTGCAACTAGTCCAATGCGCGGCAGCCATGATTCTAACAGGAGCGGAGCGCAGGGAGCACACAACCCCCCTGTTGCACCAGCTCCACTGGCTGCCGATCTGCTACCGGGCTCAATTCAAGGTGCTGGCAATGGCCTATAAAGCCCTAAACGGTTCCGGCCCAAGATACCTAACTAACCGCCTCTCGGCCTATGAGCCCACGAGGACTTTGAGATCTTCCAGGGAGGCCCTGCTCTCGATCCCGCCAGCCTCTCAAGCACGGTTGGCGGGGACGAGAGATAGGGCCTTCTCGGTGGTGGCTCCTCGGCTGTGGAACGCCCTTCCTGTAGATGTTAGGCTGGCACCATCTCTCATGACATTCCGTAGAAAGTTGAAGACCTGGATGTTTGTGCAGGCGTTTGAGTAATTCAATGCAATTCTGGTAATTTGAACATAGGAACGGAACAATGGACGTCGAATTTGGATCACGCTTGGATGATGAGGCAATCGGGGGTGGGTTTTGTGATAACTGTGTATTGATGTTTGTTTATTAGCTAGTAATGGAAATGTGTAATTTAACTGTTATAGTATATTAATTATTGCTGTTTTTATTGTCTTTGTTGTTTGCTGTCTGGAAACCGCTGTGAGTCGCCCTCGGGCTTGAGATACAGCAGTATACAAGAATAGTAAATAAATAAATAAACAATAAATAAATTTGTCCATATCTCCTCCCACTCTGACATGGTGATTCTGTGTCCTATCATTTTAGCCCACTTAATCATGACTACCTTTACCTGCTCCTCCTCAGTTTCATAATTATATTTCTGCGTCTTCATCCCTACATTTAAAGGAGAGTGGTACAATTAACAGGCTGTTAAACAAATGGATACATTAACTTCCATATTATTTTGCATATGTGCATTTAGGAACAAGCTTGAAGTTTAACACGTGAAGGTTAGTGACATCATGACAACGATTCGGCAGAGAAAGGGAACAAAATCCACAGAAGTTGCAGAAGAATGTCAATCACAAGAGAAGAACTGGAAACTTAATGGGAAAATTGTCCCTGGTAGGTATTAATTTTTTGTTTGTTTTTTGTTTACAGTGAATAGCTTGTAGATGGTTTTTGACTAAAAGTATGATATAAGTTTTTAGAAAATAGAAAAGATAGTATTGTCGAAGGCTTTCATGGCTGGAATCACTAGGTTCTTGTGGGTTTTTTCGGGCTATATGGCCCTGTTCTAGAGGCATTTCTCCTGACATTTCGCCTGCATCTATGGCAAGCATCCTCAGAGGTAGTGAGGTCTGTTGGAAATAGGAAAATGGGTTTATATATCTGTGGAATGACCAGGGTGGGGCAAAGAGCTCTTCTCTGCTGGAGCTAGGTGTGAATGTTTCAACTGACCACCTTCATTAGCATTTGAAGGCCTGGCTGAGCCTGGGGAAATCTTTTGTTGAGAGGTGTTAAGATAATCCTGAAAAGATAGTTTCAGGATTATTTCTTGAAATTTCGTTACATTAATGCCAATATTAATCATGGTTGAAGTAAGTCCTTCCTAATCAGTATTCCACATTAGTTTTAATTTGATGTCCGTTATATAGTTCCAGAAGTTATATGTTTATTTAATTAATTATATAATTATTCCAAATGAATGTAGTTTTCATGTCTAAATATAGAAAATGATGATTCACCTTCTCTTGTTCATCAACTGTGTATAGTTTTGCTATTTCAGTGTCAGAAATTCATCACTTGTAATTGGGTATTATGGTGAGAGAGTGCCTTGATCCGCCAACTTAAGAGGACGTGTAGATGATCAGACTACTGAATATTCAACAGAACCATCGCTAGATTAGGAAGCATGACACATGCAATGTTCCAAAGGATTTTCAGATAAGGGATGGTTCTCAAGATTACTTTAAGGTTCCGTACAGTTTTACTAAACTCTTATTGGGGAAAGGTCACAGGATAAAGCAGTTTAATCATAAATGTCGGAGTGAGCACACAAGCAATGCGCAGAAATCATCATAAGGATAAGAAAGAGCACTTTCTCACTTTCAACATTCGGCATCCCCAATGAGAAAATTAGCTGAAACTGATAATCAGAAGAAAAATAATATAATAAGCTGCAAAATTACACAGACTTGTGAAGAAATAACTTTAAAAAATATTATAGCTGTATTTATAGTTGGGGTGCAGCCGAAAATGAGGCTTCCAAATAATGAGGGTGTTGTGTGTTTTTCTGGGTTGTATGGCCGTGTTCTGGCAGCATTTTCTCCTGATGTTTCACCCACATCTCTGACAGGTACCCTCAGAGGTTGTGAGGTCTCTATAGCCCAAAAAACCTACAACAACCCCATATTATAGCTGTTTTTATAGTTGGGGTGCAGCCGAAAATGAGGCTTCCAAACAATGAGGGTGTTGTGTGTTTTTCTGGGCTGTATGGCCGTATTCTAGCAGCATTATCTCCTGATGTTTCACCCGCATCTCTGGGAGGCATCCTCAGAGTTTGTGAGGTCTCTATAGCCCAAAAAAACCTACAACAACCCAATATTATAGCTGTTTTTATATTTGGGGTGCAGCCGAAAATGAGGCTTCCAAATAATGAGGGTGTTGTGTGTTTTTCTGGGCTATATGGCAATGTTCTAGTAGCATTTTCTCCTGATATTTCACCCACATCTCTGGCAGGCCGCCTCAGAGGTTGTGAGGTCTGTTGGAAGCTAGGCACTTGGGGTTTATGTATCTGTGGAATGATGTCCTGGGTGGGAGAGATAACTCTTATCTGTTTGAGGCAGGTGTCAATGTTGCAATTGGCTGTCTTGATTAGCATTGAATAGCCTTGCAGCTTCAAAACCTGACTGCTTGCTGCCTGGGGAATCACCCCATAGAGATGTTCAGTGTATTGTCGAAGGCTTTCATGGCTGGAATCACTGAGTTGTTATGTGTTTTCCGGACTGTCTGGCCATGTTCCAGAAGCATTCTCTCCTGACATTTGCCCACATCTATGGCAGGCATTCTCAGAGGTTTATTTATTTATTTATTTACAATATTTATATTCGGGCCTTCTCACCCCGCAGGGGACTCAGGGCAGATTACAATGTACATATACATGGCAAACATTCAATGCCACTCACACACAACATATATAGACAGACACTCAGAGGCTATTTAACATTTTGGCTTCTGGCCACCACGGGAACTGTTGCTTCACCGTCCGTTTATGACACTGATGAAGTACTTCCTCATTCTTTGCATGCTTGCTGAAGATTTTTATGGCCTCATAAATTAGTTAAATTAGTCTCTCCACATAAGCGGTACCTAAATTTCCTACCTGACAGATGCAACTGTCTTTTGGGCTGCAAAGGTTGACAGCAAGCTACACAAATTGGTCGGAAGCTCACTCTGACCTGGGCTGGCTTCGAACTCATGACCTTTCGGTCAGTAGTGATCTTAATGCAGCTGATTCCCAGCCAGCTGCGCCACAGTCCCGGTGCAAGGTTGTGAGGTTTGTCGGAGACTGTTGGGGTTCAGCCTGATCCTGATCTGTGTGAACCGGATTCTCTGATAGTTTTTCCAACTGAGCAAGCTCTCCCTGACAGTGTGGAATCTGTTGTTGATGCTGAGGTCAGCGGCGAGGATAGTGAAACTGAACAGCTGGAGGAAAATGTTTTGGAAGCTAGCCGTGATATCTCTCCACCTGGGTTTTTTAATGGGGACCGAAGAGAACAGATAGTTAGAGACAAATGTTTCACAGTTTCGACGAAGGTCAAATCGTTTACAGGAGAGACAGGCCCAGGCTTCAAAGTCAAGGGGCGTTTCAAAGAATATCTTCTTTGGTTTAAGGGGCCTCCTGCCAGGTGTCTCTTTAGATCAAGCAACGTTTGGGACTGTGGCTGTGCCTTGGCAGAATTCCTGTGTTCCATGGCCGGTAATCCCAGAGGCTTCTAGTTTTCAAGTTCATGGTTAGCGAGAGGCTAACAGGTTCCTGGTTCTTGTCTTGTGTTTTTTGGAATTTTGCTCAAGTTCAGAGATTCTACTGACTGCTGTGTTTCTGTTGTGGCTTTTTGACTTTGCATTTACCTTTCTTTTGTAACCAATTTTTCATCAATAAACAAGGATTGTTTTCCCTACAGTCCAGTGTGGTAGATTTAATCTTATGGTCTCGTTTCTTGATCTGGGATGCAACAGAGACTAGGCAAATGGGGTTTATATATCTGTGGAATGGTGTCCAGGGTGGGAGAAAGAACTCTTTTGTCTGTTTGAGGCAAGTGTGAATGTTGCAATTGATTACCTTGAGTAGCATTGAATATTTATTTATTTGGGGTGCTTCTACCCCGCCCTTCTCAACCCCCTAGGGGGGACTCAGGGTGGCTTACAAAAGGCACAATTTGATGCCTAACAATTACAACATACAATGTGATATACAATACACAAATGTAACACAATTCTCAACCCCCTAGGGGGGACTCAGGGTGGCTTACAAAAGGCACAATTTGATGCCTAACAATTCACAAAATACAATACAATATACAATACACAAATTTACCATATAATGTTGTAGAGAAGTGTTTATTATAAAGGGTTTATTGTACTGTGTTTAAACTGTATTTATGTTTTACATGCGTGGCCATGGCCTAGCTGTGAGAGATAGGTTGCCATGGTGACAAGGCAGAAGAGAAGGTGGGCGGAGCTTAAGGAGAAAAAGGTTTGAAAGTAACAGTTAATATTCAGTCAGGAGGATGAGACCCTGAGAAGAGGAGCGGAGTCAGTTAGGGCTCTGTGTGTTGAAGCAGTATAAATTCAGTTAGTTCTTAGCATTTGTGAATATTTCTTCAGCAAGGGAGCTGAAGGTGAAACCTTGTTAGATTGCTTGTGTTAAAAAGAATCTAACAAAGGGGGTTTTAGGGATCCCAGTAGTGAAAGACTGGAGATCGGTGGTTTGATCCGGTATAGGACAAACAGAGTGAATATTCACAACAGGGAACACTGAAATAATAAAGTACTTCACTGAAGAAGGAGTTTAAAGGATTGTAACATCAGAAGCCTGAATGTATCTCTACCAAGCCATATTGTAACCATCAAGCTTGTGCCAAGTTCAACATCTTAGTATTGCAACAATTACGCTCTGTTAACAATAAACTTGTTCTCTCTGTGTTATAAATCTGCCTCCTCCATTGATTTTACATTTGGTGCAATCCACTCTACCAAAGTTGCCTCACAACGCAGATAGGGATAAACAGAGACTTCAATTCCAACGTCTCTATATATATATAATGGTGGCAGTGTAATCAAGCAGTTTTGGGACTTCCTTATAATTTATGCTGAAATTAGGTGGATTATCATACATATTTACTTAATTTTGGTAATCCCATTTAGGTGGGATTACGCTTCCTTACAAATGTCAACAGTTATAACTAATTAAAACAAACAAACAGTATACTAGCAGCAATAAAATCATCTTGTGGTCAATGTTCATCAATTCATAAATCCATAATCCATCTAGCATCGTCATTGTCCTTTCCTACTCTGGTCGTCATTAGTTGTCTTTGTCCATCTGCCAGCTTACCCAAAGGCCTGGTCCCACATCCAGGTTTTTAGCTTCCTTCTGAAAGAGAGGAGGGATGTTGATGACCTAATCTCCACTGTGAGTGCATTCCACAGGCAAGGGGCCACCACCGAGAAGGCCCTGTCCCTCGTCCCCACCAGTTTCGCTTGTGATAAAGGTGGGGCCGAGAGCAGGGCACCCTCAGCAGATCTTAAACTCCGAGGTGGGACGTAGAAGGAGATACGTTCGGACAGGTACGCTTGCAGCTTCAAAGCCAGACTGCTTGCTGCCTGGGGAATCCTTTGTTGGAAGGTGTTAGCTGGCCCTGATTGTTACCTGTCTGGAATTTCTGTGCTACATAAGCTCCGCCAGTGTGGCTGTTGGTGACGCTATAGTTTCTTTATCTGTAAAGTTGATATCAAGAGAGAGCAAGTAGACTAAAACATTTTGGCAGAAAAAAATAATGTCAGAATGTGACAAATTAAGTGGCTGGTGAATATGCTTGGAGACAAAAGGATGATATATA